ACATTTTATAATTTATTATACATGATCTTGGACTAAGTATCCATGACCTGGAGAATAAAAAACACAGAAAATGATGGTACCTAAAAGAAAATGTAAAGAGACAATGTCATAATACTTTTTTCTTTTTAGTCTATCTATGACATTGTAACTAGAAGGTACCCAGGGAATGATGTGGCAGGGACAAAAGCAAGCATACAGCAACTGAGCATCAGAGAGAGAAATACTCTATTCCAGAGAAAAACAGGCTTAGAATCACAATGCAGAAAAGGGGAGCGATTGGAACCAGTGGAGTGTGTATCTTGAGTCTCCCATCCAAGTAGGCTATCCTCTTTAACCTCTCATTGTTGTAACTATGTGTTGGTAGTAGCTTGTCTCCTGTGGGCTGCAGTAGCTGCTGCTGTGGTGTGCCCTGGAGGGGGGAGAAAAGGCCATGACCTGCCCTGAGAATCAGCCACCATCTGGGTGTGTGCCTGTGGGCGCGAGGAGGACTATACGGGGCATTTGAGCCCCTTCCCCAAGAAAAAGTTTACATAAAAAAGTGGCTTTTAAAATCTTTTTTTCTGTTTGTCTATGGCGCAAGCTGCCTTAAATTCAAGTGCTGTGGCCACCCACCTCTTTAAATCCCTTGTTTTTGTTTATGTTATGGGGCAGGCTGATTTAAATTCTCACCCAATCAGTTCACTTTGAGCCTGAGTGCATTTTTCTCCCAGGGCAGATCAATTTAAATTCTCACCTAACTGGTTTAGCTTGAGCTTGAGAGCCCCGGGGGTGAGATAACAAAACAGAGTAAGGAAGTTTGTTATTTTAGAAGTTGAATTCAAAGCTTGTATAAAAATCCCTTAGAACTTTGGGGATTTTGTTTCTAGGGGTGTTGTTCAAGATAGAAAAGGAAAGGTGGGGGTGAAACGCTGATTCCTAGGGGAACATTCCTGGGACAGAAGGCCTCAGGGAATTCCTCGCTAGTCCACAGCGCAAGCCTGACCACAAGTTTCAGAGAACCCGTGACCCGCTCTAAAAGCTTTTAACTGGTCTTTGCATGACTGGATTTTGCATTAGAAAGATGTATAGATAGGAGGTCTTTGTCTACACCAGGGCAGGCAGTCAGGAGTCCTTTCAGAGGACTAAGAGCCTTTGGCTAACATCAGGGAGTAGCCCTGATCAGAAAACCTCAATTGTTCCTTTGTCTTTAATGGTCCCACGCGAAGACTCAGACCAAAAGTAAAAGGAGGAAGGAGGAGAGACTGCTGATCCTCACGGGTGGGATGGCTAAGGCAAAGCTGCCGCTACCTTCTTGGAGAGGGGGTACTCACAAACTCCGTGTGTTCCTAGGAGCTCCACATTGGGGGCCAGCTGTGGGTCTCTCCCTCCTCTCATGGGCTGTTGGCCATTGACTTACGACCACAAAGGGAGCAGAAGCGACAAACGGGTTAGGATGGCCAGTGAGCACAGACAAAACAAACCTTTGGGGAGTCCGATTCAGTGATACAGCTCTGTTTATTCAGTGGGGGTCAGGGAAAAATATAGTGTGGAGGCAGCAGCCAAAGCTTCAGCTGATAGGTGCTCATAGTATGCTTTATTTACATGTGGTAGGGGGATCCTATCATCTGGCTATAGGGCAATGCCTAATTATCATATAGAAAAAAAACTGGGGGCAGTTTTATTGCAGGTAACTATGCCAAAGGTCTTGTTCCAAATAAGGCCAGGCATCTGTGCTTGGAGGCACTTTCCAGGTAAGTCAGGCAGGAAGCCCCTTCTGAGAAAGGAGTTGACCTTAACAGCAGGGTTCCCCAACAGGGTTGCAATTCTAATAGCTGACAAAATGGACTTCAAATGAAAATGAATCAGAAGAGATAAAGAGAGTCACTGCATTTTGATCAAAGGAACACTTGACCAAGAAGATATTACAATCATGAACATATATGGACCAAACTGGTGCACCAATTTCATAAAAACTTTTACCTGAGAGTCTTTTCCTTTCTCTATACCTATGATGCATAAATTTTTTCTTTTCATGGTGTTCCACATTTCCTGCATACTCCAGTCCTGTGTTTTTTTAAAAAAAATTTATATTCTTTGGTTGAACAGTCCAATTTTTCAACTTTATTGTCCAGTCTTGATATTCTATTTTCCATTTAATTCATCCTATTGGTGAGGCTTTCTCCTGTCATTTCAAGTTGACTTATTGAGTTTCTCTCTTCCTTCTTCATTTCAGCCTGAGTTTTCTTTAATATTTCTATTTCTTTTGTGAATTCAGTCAGAAATTTATCCCTATCTTCTTTTAGTTGTGTTTTTTTTTTTTAATTCATTGAATTCTTTGATCATGTTTATTATTGTTCTTTTAAATTCTATGTCCTGGGTTATTTCTAGGGGGTTCTCATTGAAAAACTCTTCTGTAGGACTGGTGTCATTTGGTGGGACATATTATTTTGGTTTTTCATATTATTATTTTTTTATTGTAGTTTTGACATGTGGATTTCTTTTGTTACTTATGATTCTGGTATGAAACTCAAACCTTCCTTTGTTGAGTTGAAGTCTGCTTCTGTTTGTATTATTGATGTACCTTGGTTGCTTTCTGATTGGATATGAAAAACTGGTTGGTCTGGGCTTCAGGTTCTCTCCTTTGATTTTATATTGGAGGGACCAGATGGCTCCATTTAGGCTACTCAGGAATTCTCCAGGAGGGCCAAGTGGCCCTGGCTATCTAGGAGCACTTCAGAAGCCTCCAATGGATAGTGCCAAGGTCTAAGGAGAGTAGATGTGAGATGGAAGTGCTGGTCTCTACTAGTCAGCAGGGAAGTCTAACCCCTGGAACAGTGGGAGGGACTGCAAATGGTCCCAAAACAGGGGAATGGGCCCTGTGCAATTTGATAAGCTCACCTGGGAAGCTAAGTCAGATGCTCTCAGGCAGTCTGGAAAGGTCTGGGCCCCTACTAGCCAGCAGGGAAGCCTGACCCTGGGGCAGTGGGAGTGACTGCAGGTGGCCCCTAAGAGGAGGGATGAGCACCACATGATTTGGGAAGCTCACCCCATGGAGACCTGCATCAGGGGAGTCATGTGCTCTCAGGCAGTCTGGAAAGATCTTCTTAGTGTCCCTCTTGAATCACCTGCCCCATTCAAAACCTAATAATTATCAGGACTCAGCGATTTTCTTTTAATAGATGGTGTTGCATCTATTAAAAGTGAGAAAAAATGATTATCAAGGAAGCTGAATAAACAGCACGAAAGCTCTTTTATTTTTTGCTCAGGTAGTGTTACTGGCATATTATTATTTTGGTGGATCCGTCCCCTTTGAATAAAAAAGATAAGCCTTGTTTTCACATATAAATATATATGTGTGTATGCCAAACAAGGCAATTTACTAAAATTCAGATAATTTAAAAAGTACAAAAATTTTAAAGATTTATTTTGATTTCCTTATGCTTTGGATAAAATGTTTTGTCTCTATTTTACTTAGAAAAGTTTGGATGGTCACTGAATTGCCTCTACATGCAATACTAAGTTTCAGGACATAGCCAGTGCCCAGTGGTGCTCACACTAAGATGGAGTCATCTCTGTGGTGTGGGATAAAGGGTGGATCAAGGGACAGGAACATAGAGGATGACCCTGGCTGTCTCTCTGGTTCTTTCACTAACTTGGAGCTGAACATACACAGCTTTCTGGTGGCCACTGCATGGGGAAGGATGCCCTACCTGACCTCTGAGCCTTGCTGAGAGATTAGAGTCATGACTTTGCTAGTGTTATGATGAATGGTGTTATATCTGTGAAAGGGCTAAGGAAAATGGTTCAGTGAAGTTCGTCTCCTCACAGCACACCCCTCTCCTCCCTGTTTTCTTCTTGGTCAGTGTAAAGAACATGATCTAGCCATGATCAACCAGCTGCTGGATGATCCGAAGCTGACAGCCAGGAAGTACAGAGAGTGGAAGGTCATGAACACCCTACTGATCCAGGACATCTATCAGCAACAGCAGGCCCCGCCAGGCCCTGAAGGCACCTCCCAGGAACTCAAGAAGCCCAGTCCTTCTGACTGTGTGGAAAATTCTCTTTGAGAAAAACCCAGGATTCCCTCTTCCTTGTTACTGCAGTTTCTTATGAGATGTTGCACAAGACCTTCACTCACAAGGAAACCTGAAACCCAGTCCCTGGGGCATCACCTCCCCACCCTCTAAAGACAATGCCAGGACCCCCTGTTCCCATGTGTCACTTTTGTCAAGGCTGGAATGATGGAGCTCATTTGAGCAGACAGATTTTCTGTGTTCCTACTGGGAGCTCACAGGTGGGATGTGAAAAATATCTCTGTCCTTTGCTTTCAAGGGAATTATTACTTATCATAGATAAATGATCCAGTTTTACTAGAGATAATAATTCATAGCATCCTTCTGTTTTGTAAAAGAAGCAAGTGGACCCTCCACCTTGGTGGTCAGCAGAGTTCTGTCCATTTTTAAGTGGGGGAATGTCTTCCACAGCAGTGACTGGAATAGGATGCATGCTGGTATTGTTGAACAAAAAGGTCTTACTTTTGGTAAAGAATAGCGGTACTTTTCTACTTGTGGAGAACTTCTTTGTAGACTAAAACCTGGGCAAAATGGGGAGTGGGGACCCCAAGGGGAGGCATGCTCTGCTCCAGGCTCATAAAGGACAGCTTGATATTTTCATGTTTTACCTAGGGTGGGGCATCTGAGTAATGTTCCTTTCCTTACGATGGCTAGGAACCAGACTCTCATATGACGGTGGGGACCTCTGCTCCCTCACAGCTTCTCTGAACGGTGGTAAGAGACAGTAATGCACACAGCAAGGAATGCTATGTTGCATTTATCACTGGCTATGATGCCTAGAACCAGTATGAATTTCGAACCAGTTTTCCTGGGAACAAATTTCACAAGATGATTCTGAGGTGTTTTTAACTTGGGGAAAACCCAGACCGATATAAACAACAACAAAAGAGTTAAACACGATTGTTTTATTTTTCTATGTTTATGTGTCATATGGTGTGAGATGTGAATAGCTATCTATGTTTCTTATTTAAATATATTTATAACAGTGCAAATTATAGTGTTTTAAAAGATGGTATGCTATTATGTTTTGTTTAGTATAAATATATTCTAGAAGCATACAGGTTTTGCTTGAGAAAAATAAATATATTAGTGACTTACTGGAGTTATGTTGCACTATGATGTGTGAGGGATGCTCAGGAAATCTTGTGATAAAAATAGGGAAGCATTGATAACTATTTACTTTCTGAGTGCTCTCTCTATATTGCTCTCTCTCTCTCTCTCTCTCTCTCTGTCTCTCTCTGTCTCTCTCTCTCTCTCATCTTTCAACTCCAGAGCTCTTAAATTTCTATGCCTGTTGTAAGTCATTCTCCCAACATTTACTTTAGGCTATCCCTTCTATTAAATAAATTTAAAGCTTTCTGACATATATTCCATAAACTGTTGACCAAATAAAACACAACTAATGAGCTCTTAGATTACATGAAACACAACCAATATAATTCTCAACTAAGTATTAATAGAAATTGTGATTTGTTTTAAAGAGATCTCATGAAGAAGCAACATGCTAATCACAATGACTTTTTCTCACCATGAAAATAACCACCACCCACCAAGAACCCATGTATGTCCCTCCTGCCTTTAGCAATTGTGGACATACACGGTCATTTCATAATCTCCAATGTGACTTGACATATAAATAGATATAACCACCTGAACTATACCTACAAAGTAAACAGAAAGAGTTGTTTAATATTTCGCCAAACTTTACCAGAATCTCTTTCATATACTGTAAACGAAACTAACCTTTGCATTACAAAAGGAAAATAAACCAGGAAGCAAAGCTGAACTAGAAGATGGAATGAGCTGAGAGACTGCATCCAAGATGAGCTGGAAAGAGAAGTTACTGAGGCTTTGTGGTTGTATGACACTGAAGTTTCAGTGGCTAATGCCTCATCCTCTTTACTCTGGGAATCACCACTGAGTCTGTAAAAACAGCCCTTAGGAGGCCGGTGGTGAGGTAACAGCAGTGCAAATGTCAATGTGGCAAAAATATTCTTCCGCCTCTTTTCCTTGGTTTGTACTGTCATAAGTTTCCCCTAATGAGCTCCAAATGCTTTTGATCAAGGTTCACTCATATATTTAATTAGTTTTCCTTTGGCTTTTTATGAATATACATTTAACTGACCCGTACATGTAAATTCCTTTAGTACCATTCAAATCTAAAGGCAAAATTGTCCCATGCGGTTACTTGACCAAGACTTAAGATTATTTTTAAAAGTCTCTTCAAGAAAAGTTGGACTGGAAGTTTCTGTTTTGGTAGTTAAAACTAATATGCAGAATATTCCCAAGCCAAGGTCTCACTGAACTGCAAGGTTTTGCATCCTGCCCTTCTATATCAAAAATCACCCGTTCCCTGTATCTTCCTTTGTAAATAAGGGCTGTCACATCTCCTGTGTGCACTATGTTGAGTTAGGAACTATGGGTCACTTCTGTGGGTGCCCAGCCTCAACTGTGGCCACTAAGAGGAGGGTGGGGGATTGAAGAGAATGAGTTGAAGAGTGGGGGGCACTTCCTGTGACCCTCAGTTCAGGAGGAATGCTGATGAGTTCTCGTTCCTTTCCTGGTACAAGAAATTTGGGGGAAAATTCATCCCCCCAGTTCATAGCTGGAAGATGGACCTGGGAGGCGGGTGGGGGTGCACTCCTGTAGCTGTTCTTGTGGAATGTCCTAGATCCACGACTGCTCAGGATACAGGTGGAGGATCTTTGAGTACACATCCTTCCAACCTGTGGCACTGGCTAAGGTTAGACATCTCTAGGGGACTGCACCTTGGGCTTGGGTCTCTCTGTCCTTGCTGATAGACCCAGACTAGAGCCTAACAAGAGACCCTCACTGGTTGAAACATTGCTGACACACATTGAGCCCCTCACCCTTCTAGCCGAAGTATGTCTGTTGCTTCTAAGAACTCCTAGTTCTGCCACAGTCGCTCAAATCTCACAATAGAATCAGAATCCCAGAAAGAATCCTAAAGCAAGTGATTTACTAAGATTCCAGAAGGCCTAGGGAGATTTGATTGGGAGTAAGACTCATGCCTTATATTTAACAGCACTTTGTAACTTGCAGTGTGTGTGTTCCAGACCCCATCCCCACCCCAACCCATTTGGCCTACTGCTCCATAGACAAATTTTGATGGCTGTGGACTATGGGACACAGTGAAATGCTTGGCTCTAAATCCCAGTGGTAGAGCCAGAATTTGTGTTTCAATGTTGGGTCTCTCAGCATCTCTGCTTTGCTGCTACTTAGAGAAAGTACTGTTGGAGCACATCCCCATTGAGGTACAAGTGGTCCATCACACTGGACTCAGCACAGTGACCTGGTTGGGGCGTGGCTTTTGCTAAACCTTCCCTGTGAACCCCCAGGGGCTCTGCCTTGAGCCGTCTCTCCCCCTAGATCCTGAGTTCCTTGCATCTGGGTTTTCTGAAAACTGGGGCTTGGCATAATCTCTGTGTTTCCTTTCTTTCTTTCTTTCTTTCTTTCTTTCTTTCTTTCTTTCTTTCTTTCTTTCTTTCTTTCTTTCTCTCTTTCTCTAGAAGATGCTATGGTTACTACCATGAGAGCTTAAAGAAAAGAGGAAGAGTACGTTTAAGGAAATGCAAAGTGTTTATTTTGTTATTTTTCCACTTGAGGCTTGTCAGATGTCAGGGAATTAGTGATTAGGATTAAGTCCTCTTGCCTTCCTCTCAATTTCTTCTCATGTAATTATAATTATATCATTTCCTCAGGGAGAGTTCAAATCACAATATCATAGAGATGAAACAAATTAAATATTTTTAAGTCTTTTCAGTAGGGGTGCTGTACTAATTAAAGCCATACTTAATTTCATGAACACAAGTTTTGTTGTAAAGAAGAAAGACAATTTTTTGATATAGCTATGCAGATAATTTATTAAAAAATTTAGATATAGAGGATGACCATCTAAATGTCACATTATATTGAAGAGCTTCTCTATCCAAAGGATGTAGCTTGGCTTTGGTCTAATAGAATGATATGGAAGGTTTCCCCACTTATTTCCCCTCAAACATTTCTGTATACTTACTCCACAAGAGAAATTCAGTCTTACACATGGACAGTGACTGCCTGCCTGATGTTTACTTTTGCACATAATAAAAGCAAAAGCCCCTTCAGCTGGATTTTTTCAGTCCTTGTGAATGGATAAGGGAGGGGCATTCCATTCACAGAAAACCAACCATCCCAGTGAACCATGCCACACAGAGAACATTAAGAATGGATTCTGCTTTGAAAAAAAAAAAGCTAAACAAACCCGAAAATGTTTTTTCATTCCCCTTGCTGTGAGGAAACTTAATTGCTCTGTGTTGATGTTTCTTTAGCTTCGGTCCAAAGGGAAGCATGCCCCATGGAGATATTTAACACTCTGTAATAAAATCCATGATTTCCAGTCACCACACATTCTGGTATCTGCATGGTGGGAATGGGGTTCAACAGTGCATGGTATTTGGGGCAAGATGTTAATATGGGATTGATATCTTAGCTGTCGTTGTGATTTTGGTCTCTGTTGTATTTTTAGTTGTATACTTATTTGCTGAACTGAAAAAACAGGCATGTGGATTATCTCCCCTTCCCTGCCCCTTCCAGAATGACTTGTAGAATAAAGATAAAAACAAATGAAACTGTGTCTAGTAAATGATATAGAAGAATAATTAAAACACCTGGCTGAGTGCTGTTAGTTTTTTGTCCTGCATATTTCTTCCTCACAGAAGACTAAAACAAATAAGCAACTTCCAAATCAAACAAAAGCAACAAGCAGTCATTTAGCCAGGAAGTGTTGATCGGCTACAAAGGTTATTCCGCCCTCTTGTGGCCATCACGAGGATAACATAGTCCAGATTTGATTTGATTATAATTGGAGAATTCTAGTTCAACAATAACTTTCGTGGTCCTTGTCAATACCTTTCATTTTATGGGTTTACTCATACAATTATATTTAGTTATTTCAAAATTTGCCATTAGTCCACAAAATTTAATGTGGTCATTAGACTGCTTACCATTATTGGACATCCATATGTTGTTTAGAGAATTTAAAACAAAATGCACATTTTAAAAGTTACAAGCAGTGCCACACAGGCCTCTTAAAATATGAACAAAGAAAATATTGAAATTGAAGAATAGATTGATTTTGCTTCAGATCCAGCATCAGAGGAAGCTGCATGCATTTGTGTTGAGACTTGTTTCACACCATCCTGGTTACTGGGCCCAGCGACAACGAGTTTTCCTATTTTCTCCTTTCCCAGCTCTCACCTTCCAACTGAATCTCATCCTTTTTTGAAATCTCTTTTCTGCCACCACCAAGTATTTCTAGACACCCCCCCCCAAAGAAGCAGTAAAATTATCTTAGGTCAAAAGGATCTGGGATGGGGATATAGCTCAGAGGTAGACTGATTGCCTAGTACACATGAGGCCCTGGGTTCTATTAGCACTGCATAAGCCAGGCATCTAGGCACACAACCCAGGAGGAGCAGAAGTTCGATGTCAACCTCTATGTCTGAGGACAGCTGGGACCACATGAGACCCTGTCTCAAAAATAAGCATTAGAGGAAGACAGTGTGTTTCTGGTTTCTAGAACAATCTACTCATAGTTTCCAATTACTGCCATAATAGATTATGAAAATTTAGCTACAGACACAAGTTTGTTATCTTACAGTTCTGAGGTTGGAGAGCAGACTCAGGTTTCCCTGGCCTCAGGTCAAGGTTCTGGAAGGACCTTGTTTGGGGGGTAATCCTCTGTAACTTTATTTTTTTTAAATTTATTTTTATTTTATGTGTATGAGTGTTTTGCCTGCCTGTGAAAAGTGCACCTGTGTGTGCAATGCCTCTGGAGGCCAGAAGAGGGCATTGGATTCCCTAGAACTAAAGTTACTGATGGTTGTTAGCCACCATGTGAGTGCTGGGAAGAACTGAACCTAGGTCATCTGCAAAAACAGTTATCTTAACTGCTGAGCCATCCCTCCAGCCTCTCCCTCCCTCTACTGCATAGCCTTTAGGAGTCACCAATATCCTTTGCCCACTGGCCCCCTTTCCTCTGTCTTCAAAGTCAGCAATGCCCCATCTGCCTGCGTTTTTCTTCTCTCAGTCTTCTGCAGTCTGACTCGTCTCAGTACCCTTGCACTTGGACAAGCTAGGAAAATCTGACAGTTTTAAGGTCAGCTGATTTACAACCTTAATTCTCATTTTCCCCCAACCACCTGTGAAACATTTATAGGTTCAGGGATTATGCGGTTTCTCACAAATCTCTGTTTCAAATGTTCTGTGGAGTCCCCGATGGTCCATCAATATCTACCAGAAAGTCTGGGGTTTCAATACTTTAATAACAAACTTAATAGTCCTTTGTTATACCATAGGACTTGAATTTGATTTCATCAAGATGCATTTGCCATAGGAGGGATAATTCCATCTTCATGAAGTGGAAGGGAATGCTCCTGGGTTTTACAGTCACAGGAATACATAAGCAAAGGTGACAGTGGGTTAGTAAAGTAAGCTTGTCAGGCTTTCACAGTGCCTGCATGCAAAGGCCAGGGCAGTGTCGCTGCTATTTGACAGGTGTGATGGGTAGTGAGTAGCAGCTGAGTGCCACTGACGCTGTGGAAAGCAAAAAGCTCAAGTCTATCCACAATCCAATGCAAAACCCAAGAGGCTGTTCGGCAGCTTTTAAAGAAACACAGTTTTCTGTAATCAGAGGGCAGGAAGAGTTGGAAGTGAGATGCAGGGCCAAATGGGAAGAGCCAGCACTTCAGGGAAGATGACATCCTCTGGCAGAAGGAACCAGAGCCTACAACTTGATATGGGTGTGCCTGGGCTCCTGTGAAGCATTGGGTTCTGCAATAAGCACATAGCTCTTGTTGGCAGGTATAGGTCTCCAAACCCCCATGCCTGAAAACTTTTCAGAGTATATTTTCATATGAGGCAGATACCGTCTAAGACAATGATGTTTTAGGTTCCCTGCCAGGAGAAATTATTAACCAAAGTGGTAATAGGCCAGTGAGGAAACACCTAGATTATTTATTTATTTTTTATTTTTATTTTTGTCTTTTTGAGACAGGGTCTCCCTGTAGCCCCAGCTGGCCTGGAACTCACTATGTAGACCAGGCTGGCCTCAAACTCACAGAGAGCCACTTGCCTCTGCCTCCCAGATGCTGGGAGTGAAGGCGTGTGCCACCACACCTGGTGATACAACTAGGTTCTTTAAAAAGATTCTTGGGCTGTTTCTGGAGGTTGAACTGACAGTGTAAAATTTCTGTGATGCTTAAACACTATCTAGTAGCTAATGGGGATGTAGAATCCTAGAATAGTAGAGGTTGAAGGCAGCACTTAATAATCTAAACAAGGTAGTCAGAATTACTGTAATAGCAGCAAGGTTGGAAATGGTGGCCTGGATCAAAGTTGTCGACCACCGTGGTCTTAGGGAATCGCCAGTGTAACAGGGTTTTCAAGATACATGAAACTCTCACCAGCTAATTGATAATATAGAGACTGAGGTTAGATGCACGAACTCCAGAGAGTGAGAGATGAATGTAGCGAACATTCCAGGGCCTATTGAATATGTGAAATATTTAGGAGTCCATGGAATGGGGCAAGCCAGGACCTGTCTCTCAAAGTTACTTGCATCTTCCATTTTTACCAGGAAGAGAGAAACGCTAAGCTTGATGGGTTCTGTTCAAGCTTTCAAAGTAGCATATTCCATACTTGAGATTTTTCTGACTTCGTTCATTAAGAAATACACGAAGACTGTACTTTTGAACAAGAATGAATTGTGTGACAGGAACAGACTATGCTACAGTAGGCCTGTCACTTGTTACAGATCACATAGAAGGAGAGATATGCATAGCACAGACAGTAACAGAGTGGAGACTTTGCAAATCAGTTTTCAATAGGAGAACCACAGGCCCAGATCCTGAAGGATCTAGAGCAAGGCTATATCATTGTCAGGAAAGAGTGACCACTAACAATCATCATCTGGCTGTTGTTTAGCCCTGGTAGATACTGACAACCATGGTAGTGTCCGGTCAGTGCCTTAGGTAGCTTTGCAGCCAAAAGCAACCATCAAGACCTGGGCACTGCTAGGGAGAAGTTTGAGGTGGTCCAGAACCAGTCCATTATAAAGTGGAAATGGTGAATTCAATATTGGACTGCTGCATAGATCAGTCCTCTGGCAGGCGGACCATGGACAGACGCCAACTTCCCAAGCTTGGTTGCACCTACTTGCCTAGGATCATCACCCCTAAACTTGTTGATTGTTATGATCTACAAGAAGGAGGGGCAAGGAGACTACCAACCAATGAGCCTGCCCTAGTTGCAGGAAGTGGGAGGGGCTAAAGGTATACAAATTGAGGAAGCTGAGGGGAGGGTCTCTTGCCATTTTGTGCTGCTATGGGGAAGTCATCATCCACATTTGGATGAAGACTTTCCAGTTTGGCGTTAGAAGGGGAGCAACCACACTTCTGTAAGTAAACCCTCATCCATTGCTGGGTAAGTAAGCCCAGTAAATACACTGGGTTCCCAGACTTTAGTTTGGTAAAATCATTCTTCAGTTTGTCATACAGGGAGGAGGGGCAGATGTTCTTTACAACTGCCAAAAGGAATTTTAGCAACATGGACTTTAGCGCCTAAGTCGGCAAAAGAAAATGGCATGAACTGGTGACCCAGACACCTCTGTCACTTCCCACTGCTGCACAGTCACTTCTAGCTCAGCTCATGTTTGACCTCATGGGGCATTCCTCATTGTCAGACAGAGGAAGAAAATGTCTGAGCTTAACTCATTAATGAGTTGGCTTGCTATGTGAGTCCAAGCCCCAGATGGGTGACTACTGCCTTATAGTCTTACTTATGGGTGACTCTGAAAGGGAAAAAGGGAACCCCCCCTCCCAGGGGACAGAGCTTTGGATATGACATCTGACCACATATGCTGTGTGCATAGAGAAGTGGCCCAAGGATCATGGAGGCACAGGGAAGCCTGAACAGAGAGAGATCTGTGGTTGGATCTGTGGGAATGGCCTGACCTTAAAATTTGATGCTAGTACCCACCAGAGAGAATCCATTTCATAGGGGGCTTTGAGCAATCAAGTACACAGAATGAGTCAGCCAATGAATGCCTCCTAGCTTTTGTCAGTAACTGCCCCAGGGTTCATGCATTAGATTCAGGATCAGAGGGGCCACAGTGGCAGAGAGGGAGATTACCATGCTCCCAAGTGTGCATATGCTCACTGGGGATGAAAATTCATTAAGCTGCTGAGTCTCCTTTGCCTAAAGGTGCCTTGAATTTAGGTAACTTCATCAAGGAAGATATGTTACTTTTGTGTAAGATGTTCATAGACCCTATGAATCAAGGTTCATGTTTTCTACGTATGAATGTCCAATTATTTCAGCATCAAAACCAAGAGGACCCGGCAAAATGAGTGGCAGGGGAAAGGAGGGCACTTCTAGTGTGGTGGGTGACTCAACAGCAGGAAAGTGTGGCATGCAAGGGGGCAAGGGCAAATGATTTTGTTCCTGGAGCCAGAAGTTTGTGTTTTGGGTGGGATAAGGAAGAAGGCTGTGACATTAATCAGGAAGCAGATTATGAAAACTCTCATAGACGATGGAGGGTGTTTGGAGTCAGGGCCAAACCAGGAGTCAC